TTCGTTGTGTGTCATCGAGTTGTGGTGTGGAACATAGGACACGTTGGATCACACATACCACCTCTTCACCTTGTTCTTGACAAACCTCTTGTCCGTCTACATCTTCAAATTCATATTCTTCCTCATTGCTTTCACCATCATGGATAGTCGTGTTAACAAATTTCCTTAGTGGGCAACCACTGGATATGTGTCCCTCTTTACCACATTTATAGCACTTTGGGCCTTCATTTGCCTTACCCTTGCCTCTAGTTTGCTTCGGGATGGGCTGTTTTGTCTTTGGTGGAGTGGTCTTTTCTTCCAATCTATTAGGTTGGCTCCTAGATGAGCCTTCGGTATGAGAATATGGAGGATATGGAGCCTTAGTTGTCTTTCTCATCCTCACAAACCTCTCGGCCTTTAAGGCTAGAGCTTGTGCTTGATCAACGGACCTGATTTGTTGCATCATCAATCGATCTTGAATAGCATCATTGAGACCATTGATGTACCTTGCAACTTGTTGCTCTTCAGTTTCAGCAAGGTTGCACCTCACTTGTAGCCTTAGAAACTCCTCCGTGTAATCTGAAAAAGTCCTATTTCCTTGAGCACAATTTTGAAATTGGATAAATAGGATCTGGTCATAATCAGCGGGCAAAAATCTCCCTTTCAAGAGGCCTTTCATTTGTCGCCAAGTTCTAACACGAGGTTCTCCTCTCAGCCTGCGTTCCTCTTGAACGCGATGCCACCATGCACCAGCTCCTCCTTTCAGCTTGTATGCGACCAAAGGAACTCTACGATCTTCCGGAACCTCCATGACCTCAAAGAAAGTCTCCACTTCATATAACCAATCCAGGCACCCTTCAATGTCAACATTTCCATTAAAACTTGGGATCTCAGCTTTCACCTTGTATGTATCTCTTGCATATGTAGGGTTGGGTGCTCTCCGATATGCATAGAGATTTGGTTCTTCAAGGGCATCATCATATTCTTCACCTTCAGAAGCCTCAACATAAATTGGCCTTCTTGAAGCACGTTGAACAACATGTTGTCGTGGCGATCTTGCTCCAAGATTACCTCTCCTTCTTCCTTGATGAACATCTTCCTCTTCTTTAGATGAATCTCCTTCATTGGTAAAGGGGGGAACACCCTTTCTTATCATCTCAACCAGCTGGTCAAATCTCCTATTAAGATCTTCACGCAGCTCTTTGATTTGTTGTTCAGCAGCATCCATCATCTTCTCCAGTTGCTCCATTGCTTGCCGCAACTTGCTCTCGAAGAGGACAGCAAGAACGATTATGGGTCAACGAGGCTCTGATACCATCTGAAGCATCACAAATGTTGTGGAGGAGCAACTCCACCTTGCTGCTACAATGTGTACAACACAAGTGTTGAAGGAACAACTTCAACGTGTTGCGCTAGATATCGCTCTAGAGGTGAATGTAGGCTGATAGGGCAGCAAGAGTTCAATCCAGAACTCCTAGGGCACAAGATCTACTCCAAGATCTTAGATAAGAACAACAAGTTCTATTATAGGTAGGGTACATAGTCTGGGTTCAAAGTAGAGGTGAGGACCTCTATCTATAGGGCTTTGGGAAGCCTTCACATACTTCTACTTATAGCTAGAATACTCTAAAAAACATTATGTAAGTTTCACTAGTCTACTCATAGCTACTCACAACTAGAAGACTCTAGAAAACAGTAGGTAGGATAGAAAAGAAAAGGAAAAAAATACTACACTAGAGTGAAAGCATCTAGAAGTAGCCAAACACATCTGGCATGTGTTTTCTTTCTTCTCATCTAGTGTTCCTCATCACTATACAACGTGTGAAACAATATTGAGTGAATGAATAAATTGACCAACATGTAGAGCAACGAGAAGCAAAACTTACGATCTCCATGGTTGATGCAGAGCCACCGCCCCCTACTAATCGTACACAAATCATCATATACAGTATATCACACACGCATCATCAATCGATATATGTTTCACAAAAAAGAAAACAATATATATCAAATGCTACAATCTCCCACCATCAATGCAGTCTATACAAATGCATATATACGCTTCCATTAACATCTCCACATTTCGGCAGGTAGTAAAACCATCAATTAAATGCTAAACACATACAATCTTCCACCATCAATGCGTGTGTGTGTATACTGCACATACATATCATCTCACAAAAAATTATGTATGTGTGTATACTACACGCATCCTCTCGAAAGATATGCATAGCACATACATTTCCACACAACATATATACGCTATATGTTTGTGTGCACTTTTAAAACAAGGAATTTATTATGCGCGTGCCTTCTATTGTATTTGTTTGATAGGTAGGTTTGTGTGTACAATATTGAGCTTCACTCAACAATGTATGTGCGTGAATGTTCCTGAGTTTTCAATTTTGTTCACCTATTCAAAAAATGTTCATGTTTTCTGAATTTTTGAAAAAATGTGTTTTGAACAAATTGTTTCGTAATGTCAAAAAATGTTCCTGCTTAGAAAAAAATGTTCATAATTTTTTTAAAAATGGCCCTGTTTTTCCTGAAAATATATAGATTTTAAAAAAATGTTCACAAATTTGGAAAATGTTTGTGTTTCACATAATACTCCATTTTTGAAAAAAAATGCTTTCGAAATCCCTTAACTAATTCGGATCTGTGCAATGTGTCTGGTTCTTTACGTTTGATGTACGAAATAATCATATTTGACTGCTAGGATAGTTGGTAGGAACACATCATCAAGGTCAGTTGATCCTGTGTTCGAATCCTTGCGATGGCAATTACTTTTTTCAGCAGTGCGCGCATCGCGGCGCGGCTAGTTGATGAAGCCCGCAAATGAACTACCTTGTGTGAAACAACAGCTAGCTGACGCAGAATGCGTCACATGGGACCTCCCGTATAGGAAGTCCCGGAATTGCCCCTTCGGCCAGCCAGTGGCGGAGGCAACGTGGAATTGCCCCTTCGGCCAGACAGTGGCGGAGGCAACGTATAGGCACGGTGGGTCGTAACCCACCCAGAATATTTAGATATTTTTTTACCATATACTCCCTCCGCAAACTAATATAAGATTTTTTTACCATATACTCCTTCCGTAAATTAATATAAGAGTGTTTAGATCACTGAAGTACTAAATGCTTTTATATTAGTTTATCAAGGGAGTAGTAGTTTAACTATCTAAGGCCCACTAGCCCAGCTGAGTAGCTCTTTTCCTCGGTGAATCCTATTTGGTGCTTATGCGCCGGTTCGCCAACTGGCGCCTGCAGGCGCTTGTAATTGGGCCGTCCGTTTCCCCTTTTTTTTGTTCAAACCCAAGCAAAAAAGGTGAGCGTGCTAGCGGGGTTCAAACTCAAGAGCTCATCGTGGAGACCGCAACGCACTAACCACTAGGACACTAACTCACTTGTGTACAAATACATGTTACTTTCTTTTATTCTTTTCCCGGTCACGGTTCTTATTCCTTTTTCCTTTTTGTTTTTTTGTTTTCTTCAATGCGCGAACTTGGTTCGAATTTGTGATTCTGTATTCATGAACTTTTTTCAAATATCATGAACTTCCATCAAATTCAATGATTTTTTTTCCAAAATTTACGAGTTTCTAAAAAAATTCGTTGAACTTTTTTTAAATTTGATGAACTTTTTCAAATTCAATGAACTTTTTTTCAAATTTGATGATTTTTTTAAAAAAACCGATGAACTTCTTTACAAATTGGATGAACTTTTTTCAAAGTCGATGAACTTTTACAAATTCGTTTTTTTTCAAATTCTTTGAACTTTTCTTAGAATCGATGAACTTTTTTTTGAATTCGATGAACTATTTTAAGATTTGATGAACTTTTTCCCAAATTTGATGAACTTTTTCTATACCAATGAATTTTTTTGAGTTTGATGAAAAAATTTCAAATCCGATGAACTTTTTTTTCAAATTTGATGAACTTTTTTCAAATTCGACGAATTTTTTATCAAATTCCATGAACTTTTTTCTAATTCTATTAACTTTTTTGAAAATCGATGAATTTTCTAAATTCAATGAACTTTTTTCTTATTCGATTAACTTTTTTCGTATTTGGTGAACTTCTTTTGTCAAAATTGATGTACTATTTTCCAAGCTCACTTTTTTTCAATTTTTTATGCTTTTTTCAAATTCATGAACTATTTTTGAATTTGTGAATTATTTTTTCAAATTTATGAACTGTTTTTCGAAATTGTGCACCAGCAGCGCTAAGTGCTTCGCCGCTACAGCACCTCTTCTGTGCCTCTGGTCGCTACGACCTCGTGACGCTGCAGAGCGGCTCGAACTGACAAGCGCTCCCAGTTTCCCACAAACCCAGACCCGTGCGTGAGAAGCAGGGCAACGAACGAAACTGCTAGCACACCGTCGCCACGCCGCCTCCCAGTTCCGTTCCGGCTCTCCCTTGCCGTCGGCCCGCCGCCCGCCCGTAGCCCCTTCCCTTGCCGCCCCCCTCCTCTCTTCGCTCACCTACCCACCCCTTGATCTCGCGTCGATTCTTGCAAGTTGGAAGCAGTGCCAAATCTCGATCCGCCCCACGGCCAGCTTCACCATCGCCGGCGGCTGGACCCTCCAGCCCTCGACGCCTCTCCAAGCTGCAGCCGCGTCTCCAGCCGCGTCCCCATCGTCTGGTTCCGCAAAGCAAGGTGAGACTCAGCCGGACTGCTTTTTTTCTTGTCAGTGAAGATAATGTTCACGATTCAGGAATTGCACAGCCTCAACATCTACAGTCATGTGGATTCATACTTCTTTGGAGGGCAATGCTCACGAATTTACCAAACTACCTGGTTATCAGGGAGTGGACCGTCCTGTTTCAGAATCCTAGATCCGCCACTTGGGTAATTCCTAGTTACCTCTGGAGCTGTGTATTTTTGTTTTTGATTTGTTAACTTAAGTTGATGAATTTTGTTGCCAATTCACGCACTATTATTTGTAGTATTTTTCATGTTTTATGTACTTTATTGGATCGTTGAGCATTGAGTTTAAATTCTACATCTATCCACGAACTAGACATGGCAGATACCAAGCTGGGAGCGACCGCCATGGCGCAGTGTCAAGAGGGTTCGGCGGAGGAGGGGCAGGAGCATCGCCTGCGGGCGGCGCTGCGCCACCTGCAGGCGGAGTCCGGAGTGCTCGAGCGCCTCATCTACAAGCACCGGAACCAGCACCGTGGCGCCGCCTACTTCCAGTACCTCCTCAAGGTACGCCTACTACTACGACCTGCTTGGCCCCCTCCCCCACTTTTTTCCGGGGGAGTGGCTATTCACTAACAACTGACGAGTGTGATTTGTATGTGCTTGGGATGGGCGCGTAGGTGCGGAGGGACATGAAGCTACTTCTCAGTGCCAATCTCGCGGAGGTCATCAACGCGGTGTTCCCGGTCATCACCTGTCATAAGCCGGCCAACACTATTCTTGTTCCGAACAGGTTCGTCAGGTTTCTCATCCCTGGTGCTGTTGCATGCCCCTGTAAAACAATCTTTGTCGCTTCTAATGTGTATGTCAATTGCAATTTTTTTGTTGTGTGTATGGTACACATTGGCAGAAGTAATGTGCTTACACATATCCTTCATGTTGGGACATGTTGTGGTCTTGTGATGATATTTGTGGTCCTTATATTGATTCTAGGAGATAACAAAGAAAAAGTGTATTCACTAATGAATGTAAGCTTAGAGCATCTCCACTCGTTCGGCCCCCCAGGGACTTCAAATAGTGCCGCCTGGGGGCGCGCCAGCGACAAAATCGGCGTGGGGAGCCTCGGGTTCCCAGCCAGCCCCACAGACGCCGATTTCGGCCCATTTTCGGCGCAAAATTGGCCAACTTTCGGCGCAAATTAGACCAATTCGGCCCATATTCGGCACAAATTGAACAGAAGCTTTTTATCACATAGTTCATCACAGAAATCAACAAATTAATATAAATCAAATAGTTGAACAAATAGTTCGACAAATAAAAACTCATATTTCATCACGCGTCAAGCTAGGCGTTTGCCCTTGAGCCTCCATAGGTGCTCCACCAGATCTTGCAGTAGTTGTTGCTGCACTTGTGGGTCTCAGATCTCCTAATGCATGTTGAGGAAGCAGTCCAGGTTGCCGTAGCTGGTGATCAACTTGGGCAAGAGGGCCTTGCCTGTAATATGGTTCATTGTCAAACACTGCCTCTTCCTGCTCGCTCTCAGTGATCATGTTGTGCAAGATGACACAGCAAGTCATGACTTCCCACATTTGATCTTTCAACCAGGTCTGAGCGGGGTACCGGACAAGAGCAAATCGAGATTGGAGCACACCAAATGCCCGCTCGACATCCTTCCTGCAAGCCTCCTGACACCTGGCAAAGTAGGAGTTCTTGCCTCTTGGCACAGGGTTTGAGATAGTCTTCACAAATGTGGACCATCTCGGATAGATGCCATCTACTAGGTAGTATCCCTTGTTGTAGTGGTGCCCATTGACCTCGAAGTTCACCGGAGGAGCATGACCTTCAACAAGCTTGGCAAAGACTGGTGAGAACTGCAGTACGTTGATGTCATTGTGAGTTCCTGGCATACCAAAGAAGGAGTGCCAAATCCAGAGATCCTGTGTGTCCATTGCCTCAAGTATCACACTGCAATCGCCTTTGGCACCTTTGTACATCCCCTGCCAAGCAAATGGACAGTTTTTTCATTTCCAATGCATGCAGTTGATGCTTCCAAGCATCCCAGGAAATCCTCTTGCTGCATTCTGTGCTAGGATCCGAGCAGTATCTTCAGCATTGGGTGATCGCAAGTATTGAGGTCCAAACACTGCCACCACTGACCTGCAGAACTTGTACAGACACTCAATGGTGGTGGACTCGGCCATGCGTCCGTAGTCTTCCAGTATATCACCGGGAGCTCTGTATGCAATCATCCTCATAGCTGTCGTGCACTTTTGGAGTGAGGTGAATCCAAGTTGCCGGTGCAATCCTTCTTGCACTTGAAGTAGCTGTCGAACTCCCTCATGGAATTCACAATCCTGAGGAAGAGCTTCCGGCTCATTCGATAACGGCGCCGAAATACCTTCTCGCCGTGTGGTCGAGCATCGGTGAAGTAGTCGGCGTAGAGCAAGCAATAGTCTTCCAGTCGATGCCTCTGCTTTGCCTTCATCCGGCCCGGCGCCGAGCCACCTCGCCGCGGCTTTGCATTGCTCGCGAGCAGGCCGGCCAGAGCGGCGAGGACCATGAGGTGATCTTCGTCCTGGGCGTCGGCGTTGGCTTCCTCAAGCAGCGCCGCCAACGTCTCCTCGTCGTCGGAGTCCATCGCCGGGCGACGCAAATCGCCAAACACCTGGTGGGCGAGGTAGGCACGCAGCAGCCCGGATTCCCGCTTTTGTGGCCGGAGCGCCGGAAAAGGTCGCCTAGAAGCAGGGTGGACGCTGCCGCGGCGAACTCTCCCTCTTCTCGGAGGGGAAATGGCCTGTCTAGCGGCGGTAGGTAGGTGGGCGGTGCCGGGATCGGCACGGCGGCCAAAGAGGGAGTGCTCGTGGGGGGCGAAGCTGGAGGTGGAAAAACATTTTTTCGCCAGTCAGCAGTGGGCCACGCGCTGTTTTCCCTTCAGTCGGAGCCCCCAAGCGCCCCCAGTGCACTGGGTTCGGCCTGGGATCGCCGGGCCCAAAAATGGGCCTAATCGGCGTCTTGGGGGCGCGACTGGGTGGTTTTTTGGGCGCCGGCGGAAAAAAATACTCCCTGGGGGGCCTGTTGGGGGCGCGGCTGGAGATGCTCTTAGCTAGAAGTTTCCACTTGTATGGGCAGTGCTTAATTTCCTGGCAGTTCAGATTATTTATTTGGCTTTTATTCTTGGTATAATGATGCTATAATTATATTAGTCTGCTATTCAGGTTATTGCTTAACATTTTCTTTTATAGGCAGGGTAAGAGGAAGCCTGGTGCAAACCATAGCCATTATAAGAGGCTTTTGGGGGTTGCCCGTTTGCTGTCCCAGGTGCGTTTTGTTGCCTGTTAACACCGGTTGCGTTTTGCAAACTATCCTGTTCAGCTGAATCAAATATTTTGGTGGAATCATAAATGCAATGTTGCTGTTGATAGAGCATAACTTTTGTTCCTTGTACTTGTTTTCAAGTAACGAGTTACGCAATATTGAAATTTGAATCTGTGGTAGTCTACCAATATTGCCCAGTTGGTTTACTTCTTTTGTTTAGCTAACTAAGGATACAACGGCAAAGTATTGTGATTATCCTTGCGTGCTTGCAAGGTTCCGATGTATTTAGTATAAATCCTTATATGGTACATGAAGCTCATTACCCGAGAAATTCTATATTTTGTAACTGCATGATGCATACTTCTGGATGAGTCGTTGTAGTTTGCAGATCATTCTTGATCAACTTCGAGACCGGAGATAGCTAACTTGGTTAGCACATCAGAGGGAAAGCACTAATGCTTTCTGTATTTTGTGCAGATGGCTGAACCTGTTATGAAGGGAGCAGTGTATCCTTTTTTTTGTTCTGTTATTTTCTTAGCAGAAATAAAATAAGGTGTATACCCACACTTGGGTTGCCACTGGAAACAAATCCCGTAGTAACTTTCATTCGGAGTTGATTGCTACCTATCCAAAGTTCCTTGATCCATACTACAGTCAGATCAGCTTTTTACTTGCTAGATCTTTTTTTGTAGAACTTTGCACTGCAGTGCTTGCTTTGCTTGCAAGAGTGAGGGTCCTGACCCAACAGGTGAGCCACATAGTCTACAGGCATGGCTATGAATGATTCTATCAATGAAGTTCAGCAAATAACCACCCATATATTTATGCAGCAACTAACTTGGTAGTTAAACTGTTTTTTTTTTGCGGGTGGTAGTCAAACTGTTATGTGTATTAATTAGGAATCTAAGAAATGTCAACTTCTTTCTTCGAAAAGGAAGAAATGTCAACTTGGAATGATATGCGTGCCAATTATCTTATTTGTCTCTTTATGCAGAGATTTTGCCTAAGAGGCTTACCCTCTGATATTATGTTTGCAGATGTTACTTGATGTTGTATCAGTGCACAACAAGGTTACTGATCTTACGGATAAAAAGCAGGCTGTTAAGATCAGTATTGATAAAGTACAGGTATGTTTTGCTTCCACACTAGCACTCTGTGTATCCTTGTTGATCATGCAAAAATATGTATTGCTTAAGATCGTGCTTTCACACAAATGTGCAGTTGCTGGACCTTGCAGTTACCTCACTACATAACTCCTTGGTTTTGCCTCTGCATTTCACAGGCTTTCAGAGAGTACTACCCCTCGAGCAATGATCCCAATACTATCCTGGAGTGTGTATGGGTGAAAGATAAATTTGTTTTGCATGAAAAGACCAAAGCTAGCAGTCAGAAAACCCAAGATGAGGGTCTGAAGTGCACTCCGGATTCATCAATCAAGTATGAGACCATTGGACTTGTTAGTGAAGGTTGGAACACTTTACCTTCTATGATTCATGATATATGAACATTTGGAGTTCATGGTTGCATTTTCTGCAATACTTATACATGAGTTCCTGCTGATACTAAAAGAATCCCATGCGATTGTATCCTAGAGGCATGCAAATGAAAAATTGTTTTCTGTTAAGTAATCTAAACTGAAAATACAGTATGTATTAATAAACAAATATATGTAGTAGGAAGTGGTAGGAAGAGATATGGGATGAGTATGAATGGAGATGAAGGGCCTTGGTGGCTCTATTACATTCACCTCCAGTTGACTATCTGGAAGTAATGATGACACTTAAGTATGTTTTCTGATACCATCTCCATTGTCACTTATGTTAGATGACATTTGAAAAACTCTCAAGAGTATGCTTTGGGGATTTGTAACTTATGGTGGACTAATGTTGTTTAGCATGATATTTTGGCATAGTAGCCATATATCTCTATATGACTGACAGTTTTTACAACGAAAACAACAGTTAGTCAGTTAGCCTAGTTGAATGGTGGCAGGGATTGTGCTTAGTGAATTCCCACTATGGTCTTATTTGCTATTATTTCCATTGCAATTTTAATATATATTTGGGGTTGCGTGCTCCAACTTGGAAACTAAAGTGCACATGCTGCCAAAATGTTGTACTTTTTCTTTTACATCAGTTGTTTTGTACTCCCTCCCTCCGTAAAGAAATATAAGGGCGTTTAGATCACTAGAGTAGTATATAATAGAACATGAATGCTGGTTTATTTATGTGTTTATCGTGTCATACTTTGAAAAGGGTTCTTATAAGTTCTAATGCTGCAGATGTGACATTATCAGAGATGGAAAGCCTTGATGGAGCAAACACCCCAGCCAAGCAACAACATGATGCTTCTCTGTCTGACCAACCAGATAAAGCCACCCGTTGCGGCGACGCTGGAGATTCTCACAGTGGGAGGCGACTACCAAATGATCAAAACACTCCGGGCTCTCTTGTTAGCACGCCCGGTGCTGCGCCGGCACCACGCAGAGATGTCAAGCCCGATACGAGGAAGAGAGTGGCGTTCATTGCGGTGGGGAAAACAAAAGTCACGGTGACACCGCCTGAAACATCATCATCCGTAGCTGCCAAGAAGCAAAGAGTGGACACGATTCCACGGACCACCGCAGGATAGATCCTGCTTTGTAACTCTTGAAAGAACAACCGGCATTGGTGAAGCGAATAAAGGGCTAATACATATGCACACCTTAGTAGTAGATGATCAATGTGTTATCTTTGATTGTTTGCATTCTTACTGCACCTCGCTTGATACCAAGAGATTGTTCCTTTTTCCACAAGCACCAGGTGACATCCAGATAATTGATGAGGTTTACACAACCACAGGTCGGGAAGAGCTGCAACCACTGTGGGGCGGAGGCTGGAAGCAGCCGTGGCCAAGCTACATCCTCGTCAATGGCGGGGTGTTGCAGAGGAGCAGAGAGATGTGTAGTAGCGCTGGAACTTGCCGCAGTCCGACGTGATGTGTCGCCCTCCTTGGCCTTGATGCACCTGTGGTACTCGATGTAGCGCACGTAGCAGTGGCGCGTCTGGTTCTGGGTCGGGAACCGGAAGTCGCACGGCGCTGTGCGCAGCTCGATGCCGGCGGCACCATCTTCTCGTGCGGGTTCACCACAGAGACAGTGCTCGCCATGGCGGATCGATGCTCTGAATGGCGATCGGTGCTCTGGCCGCGTGGGTGCTGGTTGCTTTTGTACCGGCGTTGAGCGGTGGAAGCACCGAAGAAGGAGAGCAACCAGGCCAGGTAGTACTACCAAACGAGTTAGAGAATTCAACGGGGCTGGCCAATTTCATCGGAAAACTGAGCGTACATCCGAATTTGCTCAGCTAATCTGCACTGCATCACCCCTTCAAATCCACAACCTAATCTAGCATGCTTTCGTCAAGTTCAGTGCCATCCTTCACAACATCATCCATGGAAGCGGACAATGAGTTGGGATTTCCTGATGCTAGGGTGATGTGAAATGCTCACCCTGCTTTCCCTTCCAAGTTATGACAAGACGGGAAAACAATATCTGAGTGTGCCGCACAAAGTCCCTCCGTCCCATAATTCTCGTCACGGTGAACTAAAACCACGACAAGAATTATGGAACGGAGGGGGTATTTACTTACATAAATCAACTCTACATTTGAAACGCACAGCAAGAAGCCAGGTGGTTTGAGACACAAGCATGAGAAGGTATGACTAGAGACATTTGATGATGGGATATGCTCAAGCATGAAAAATTACTATTTTTAGAGCAGTAGAATGGCAGGTGAATTTAATTAAATTAGTTTACAAACTTGCAATTTTCAGCACCTTAAAACATAGCATGGTTCCCACTGGCACGTCTGAACATGCGTATTCTAGATTCCAATAATAATTGACTAGGGTCAAAATCACGAAGAATGGTTTTAAGAGACTTAAAAATGAAACACACGAGCTGAAACTGTAACACATGGATCAACTGAAACCCTGAAATTATGCCTGTGCCACTACAAACGTCATTTTTTATGCCACAATGCCCACTGCAAATGTCCTCTTCAATACCATTAGCAGGACCGTCTGTTCGTTTCCTCTGTTAAGAGATACTCCCTCCGTTACCTCTCTATCAAAATATAAGACATTTTTGCAGTTCAATTTGAACTGCAAAAACATCTTCTATTTTGGTACGGAGGGAGTGTTTGAAGTTCTATGTTTGTCCTAAGCCAAACTTCTACAAGAAGTTTGACCAAGTCTACAGAAAAATATACCAACATCCACAACACAAAATTAGTTTCCTACTACATATATTAATTTCATTCATCATAAAATATTTTCCTACCATATATATTTGATAGTGTGGATATTAGTAAAAAAAAAATTGTAAACTTGGTCAAACTTGAGAAGTTTTGACTTACGACAACATAGTACTTCAAATATTTTGGAACAGAGGGAGTTTTCCATATGAGTTTTCTAAGACTACCGGGACAACTACTGCTTACTCGAAATGGCCTTGAAATCACTAAAATTCATCATGTCTCATGGGGCGTGTGGGGGCAAGATGAAGCCCACACAAAGTGGCGAGAATGTGAGGCAGAAAGGGGTTATGTGGGTTTAGGGTTTCCAGCTGGGGGTCCCACGGTGTTGAAGGACTATAGTTGAAAATGGGATCCGTCTTAAAAATGCCATCATTTCTTCACTGAAGATCAAAAACTCAGAAATATTAACAGGCAATAGTGGGGGTGCAATTTCTAAAATTGTCTAAGCGCACAAACACCTACGATCTGATCTTCACAAAGTATATCTGCGACTTTACATCATAAACACACAACAGAATAGGTTATCCAGCACAATGTCTTTGGTTTCAGCAGTATGCACTGATTGTACAGGACTAGTACAGAAATGGCCAAATGGGTCAGCCAAAATTTCAATCAGATGGAACTTCCAATTCTCTCTGATAAATCATTACTCTTACCAGTTATTACCCTCAGGCACATTGTGACACATATTTTATCAACATGGCAATCAACAAACGCAAAACACAGAGCAGAGCACGATCAATTATCTTAACTGCTCTCATATGACTACATATAAACACTTAACTCTAGCTGTACTCTCTCAAAAAGTTCAATCCATAGAACCAACAACGAATGACTATAAGTAATGGACTATATTTCTACCATAGCCATTGATCTAAGGCTAGTTATTCAACAGGCTTCAGCACCTACGCACACTCATAATCATTGCCTAGAACTCCGAAGTTGAGCCAAACAAAAGCACTTTCTATCCATTCTTGAATAAAGTGTATAATAAAATTATAATGAGACCCAACACAATCAAAATGTTTTTTGGCATGGTAGCTGGGTCATTTTCAAGTCTCATTTTACATATAGCTTACTTAAAAAGTGATACATGCCTCTAGAACTGAATACTGAAGTGCATATAACAGCAAAAAAAGGAAATAAGAAAGTTGGCACCTCTTGAGACTATAATGTTGAAAGAACCACATAAATCTCCACAATGAAGATCAAGATTGAGCATTTGCCCTCTGCAAAAATGATAGAAAATGAATCTGAAGCAATTAACTGGCTGTACAAAAAATGAACTCAGTTTGTTTAACCTGCAAATAACACTTCAAAAGCAGTCGATGTTTGGGCATGACAGTTGCATTATGGCACCCACAGTACAATAAGATACATAGGTCCAGTTCTGAATCATCACAGAAATATCCAAATATACTTAGATTACAGAAATAGAAAGGCTGATTTGCAAACAGGAAAAGATAATGGTTCAATTGTTATGATGTTTGTACCTCGTAAGTACTAAATCTCGACACAGTAGAAGGTGGCCCTGAATTGTACCCAAGAAGAATCTCACCTCTTCTGCGGCAGATTGCTTCAGTGAGATGCATAGACAGTGTCATTTCTTCTTGGAGGTCTATCGGGAACCGATCCTGGCTTAAACTTTGACGCCTCATGCCTAGCAAGTTCTGGAGGGACGGGACTATTGCTCTGAGTAAGCATCTGTTTCAGATCGAAGAAAATATCAGTGTTATCCAGAGTCAAGAATGAAGTGGCAAGTCCCTTCTTTCCTGCACGCCCTGTTCTTCCGATGCGATGTGTGTATGTATCAACTGAACTAGGCATCTCATAGTTAATAACATGAGCGACATCAGGAATATCAATACCACGCCCTGCAACATCAGTCGCCACAAGAACATTGAACCTGCGGTTCCTAAATCCATCAAGGCTGATCTCCCTCTGATCTTGTGACTTCCCTCCATGCAGTGCTGTGACGCGGAAACCTGCCTTGTCCAGATCCTTGGCACGGTTGTCTGCTGACTTCTTTGTGTTGCAGAATACAATGGCCGTCTTGTCCCCAAGATCTGTGAGTATCTTCTGGAGTCGTGACATCTTCTCTGACTCCTTCACCATGATCACATTTTGGGTTATCAGATCTGTGGCCTTGCCAGCTGTACCAATTGTGACGACAACTGGGTTCCGGAGGTACTTCCTCGCAAGGCGCTCGACAGCAGGTGGCATGGTGGCACTGAACATATAAGTTGTCCTGTAAATCCTCTTCTCATCCAGTTCCTCTTCCTCATTCTCAGGTTTCAGGTTACTTGATGGCATCGCATCAAGGACACCAACAACCTGTGGCTCAAATCCCATATCAATCATCCTATCAGCCTCGTCAAGTACAACATAGTTGCACTGGTTGAGCACAGCATACCTTCTCTCCAGACAATCAAGAAGCCGACCAGGCGTTGCAATTACAACTTCACAGCCCTGCCTAATCTTGAAACCTTGCTCCTCAATGGACTGACCACCAACAATGGAAACGACTTTAATGCCTAGATAGGTTGCAAACTTGACCGTCTCTTCCTCAATCTGTTGAGCAAGCTCACGAGTAGGTGCCATGACAACAGCATAAGGACCCTCGGCCTCATTGTCCTCGCTAATAGGCGGCAGGCGAGTAATGTACGACAGCATAGGAAGCACAAAAGCTGCAGTCTTGCCCGAACCTGTCTCGGCAATACCAATGACATCACGCTGCTGGAGACCAAGCGGAATGGCAGCCATCTGGATGGGCGATGGTTTCTTGTACCCAACCTTCTCAATAGCACGAAGCAGCTCAGTCCCAAGCTTGCTCTCGGGCCAGTTGCGCATCGGCCGGGGTATGCGAGACCCCTTGTAGGAGATATTGAAGTCCTCGCGGAAAATACGCCAATCCCGCTCGGTCATCTCCTCGATGCCCTTCTCAGACCAGTGCCTGTCCACCCGCATGTCGAAGGCATCATACATCTCCGCGGCGGCGGCCTTCTTCTTATCAGCCACATCATCCTCGGGCCGGTCCTCCACGCCGAACTTGCGGCGCTGCTCAGCACGGGTCTCCTTCTCAAACACGGCGGCCGCCTTCTTCTGCTCGCGCCGGTCGATGCCGGCGAGGAAGCCGCGGCCGTAGAGCAGGCGGGCCTCGTGCGGCGCCTGGTAGAGCATGTTCATGTCGCGGCTGGTGTCCTCCGTGTTCTCCCAGTCGAAGGAGAAGCGGAACTTCTCCGAGGGCTTGATGACCCGCTTCTTGGGCTTCTTGGACCCCAGGTACTGCTCCTTGATGGCCTCCAGCTCCTTCTCCCGCTCCCTCTCCGCCATCTTCTCCAGCCGGTCCTTCTCCCGGTCCTTGTCCCGCTCCCCGCGCTCCCTGTCCCGGTGCTCCCTGTCCCGGTCGCGGTCGCGGTCCCGGTCCCGGTCCCGGCGAGAAGGCTCGTCGCGGTCGCGGTCGCGATCCCGATCTCGGTCCCGGCGGGAGTCGTCGTCGCGGCGGCGGTCCCGGTCCCGGTCGCGGTCCCTGTCCCCCCTGTCCCCCCTGTCCCGGTCGGAGGGGTCGCGGTGGGACGAGGAGGAGTCCCGGGGGGCGACGGACGGGGGAGGCGGCGGAGGGGGCCGCGGGAGCGACTGGAGGATGTCGAGCGCGGAGCGGCGCTGGTCGGCGACGGCCGCCTGGCGGCGCTCGAGCGCGAGGCGCTGGCGCTCCTCCTTGGAGAGGAACACCGGCTTCGCCTCCATGGCGTCGAAGGAACGCTTCATGGCGGCGGCGGCGGCGCGGCAGAGCGAGGAGATGCGGTGCCGATGCGTGCGGGTTGGGGGAGGGTTTGCGGACAGGTGGGGAAAAAAAGATCAGGTTGCATCCGAGACCGACTGTTCCTCCAAAGAGAAACCGACCTGGAGCTTGGGCCGTAAGAGGAACTCAGGCCGGGCCGCATTAGATTGGAACCAGCCTGGAGCGTAGTGTTATTGGGCCGGCCCAATAACTAGGTACTTTGCCATTTTACTCTTTTTTTCTCTATCCGAAAGAGGCTTCGGATTTATTGATCAAACTAGTGGTACATACGCCTGGAAATAGATCAAAGTCCTCGGGATTATGTTCATTGTCCTGAACCGGTCGATGGCACGCCGCTGAAGATGTCTCACCCTTGCCGAAGCCACCCAGTCGTTGCTGAGTGTGAGAAGGAAGTAGTTTTTATTTCTATTTGTTTTGTTAATTTACTGTGTTGTGTTTTTAATATTCCATTTGTACTTTAAAAGGCTTTTTAGTTCATCTTTCCATTCATTTTACAACTATTTTTCATGGTGAGTACATGAAGATCTTTTCTAATATACACTAATGTTTTTTTGCGGGATATACACAAACATTTTATTATTGAAGTTGTGAGCATTTTATTTTTAAATGAATGCATATTTATTCTAAAATGTATTACCATATTACTCTTCAAGATACACACATAAAAACTATTGATAGTAATGAACATCATTTTTTGAAATATATGAACATATCCACATATACTAATCCCAAAAATAGTTTTACATATGGAACAAATTTGGTTTGTGATTTATTCGTGACCATTTTTAATAAATGAACAATTGAAAAAAATAATAGTAGGCGGGACTTTTGTTCTTGGCCTATGAAAATGGTTTTTAATATTTTTATTTAACGCAGTCTTGAATATATATTTTTGTTTTAAAAAATGTAGTTAAATGTTCAATTTTTGAAAATGTATGTGTCAATGGGCCACTAACCCACTTAACTCACTCTCAAGGAGAGGCAGGCTTCCTCTCATCTACTCCCTCCGTTTCAAAATAGATGACTCAACTTTGTACTAACTTTAGTATAAAGTTGGGTTATCTATTTTGAAATGGAGGGAGTGGGATTTTAGATCGAAAATCCAAATCTGAGCCCGAGCTCATCTGCACCTGCGCTCACCAAAAAAATCAAAATAAATACTAAAAAAATTCAAAAAATTCCAAAAAAAATTGGGGTGGTGGACAATTTGATGCGTGAGGTGCGCCCCAATTTTCAAAACATTTGGACTTATGTGCAGCTCTCAGCAAAAAATATAAATCGGAGGTCTGTAAAAATGTGTACTGTTCATATACTGTTTTGGTCTGATTTGTCTTTTTTGCTGAGAGCTGCACATAAGTCCAAATGTTTTGAAAATTGGGGCGCACCTCACGCATCAAATTGTCCACCACCTCAATTTTTTTCGGAATTTTTTGAATTTTTCTGAAATTTTTACGAATTTTTTTTGAACGGGTGCAGATGCACCCGGGCACCGAAACGCCGCACTCATTTTAGATGTCCTTTTTCCATGTGTAATCTGCAACTATTAAATTCGGATTAAAATATGCGTACTGTGCATGATAGAGGCATATTAAACTTATAACTAAAATATGCCTATTGTTGCAGGCACGGGGACTACTCAACACCCGCTTCTACCCAGCAAGCCCTAGAACTGGCTCACATACTCCACCGCTAGCATCCGACATCACACAAGCCTAGTGTTATCCACTCGCGCCCACGCCAGGTAAGACCGAGACATAGTTGGTCGAGTCCATTGTGTACGATGGCGTCATCTACTATGTTGTGAGTGGGCAATCAATCGTCGCTCCCATCCACTTTGTCGGCTTCGTGGCCACCTTTGACATGAACTTGCTAAGATCATGGGGAAGCAATGCTTTAGGAAAAATAAGAGGATTGAAAGAATATGAAGATGTTGGCTAGACTTATAACGAGAGATGGTGTACTCAACTATTAAATTTGGAATATGAACATGATGGCCAGTGACTACTCTACACTGGCTCATGCCCGACAAGCCCTAGAACTGGCTCACAGGCTCCATTGCCACCATTCGATGAGCCTATGATGTGTCACAAGCCAAGTAAGACCGAGACGTAGCAGGTCAGCTCCTTGTGTACACGACATCGTCTACTACGTTGACAGTGGGAAATCGGCCACCACTCCCGTCCCCTTTGCCGGCTTCGAGGCCACCTTTGACATGAACTTATTAAGATCGCCGGGAAGCAATGCTTTAGAAACACAAGAGAATTGAAAGAACATGAAGAGGCTGGCTAGACTCATAATGAGAGATGATGTACTCCAAAATTCAAACCCTGGCACCATCATTGCAAAACTCGGCATGGCGCCTTCTCTCCAAGTCACGGTTCCATCTTGGTAAAACTTCAAAATAGAATGTTGGGTTTCTATTTGTAGGATAAACAAGTCCAGGAAAGGTCTAACCCTACTCGATATGCTATGCATGAGCCATGCAAGTGCGGAAAGCACACGCACACGAGGGGGGGGGGGGCGTGCAAGAGAGGCGGGATATTAGTTGTTGTGATATTTTACTAATTAATGCCAAGTGATTCTAGCGCCCTAATTGGGCAAATTTGAAATAGAAAAACCACCCCCTTGTGCCCTGGTCTTACCAAAATGGCCCTCCGGAGTAATAATCCCGCGGGAAATGGGGTACTAGATAATTGGGATATTTCTAGAAGGAACTTCCACAAAGCATACACTCTCCATTTGACATTATTACTCATATCAGTCTAATCTTAAATCAAACATTATCAACTTTGACCAAATTTATCAAAAATGCAACAACATTCACAACACCGAACCAATATCTTAGACCCATGATGGAAGATATTTGCGCAATATATTTATTTGGTGACTTAACAAACAGAACAACAATGGTTTACAAAGAAGAAAGTTGTTTCATAGTGCTACAAAAAATTGTACAGACTCTATAACATAAAACTATTGTGGTTGGTTAGAGCTACCAACCTTAGATACCAAAGACACCGCGACAGGAAGCACGTCCGTGAATCCATCTCCACTACGCTCATCTTTGGCTCTTGGCTGTTCTCCGTATTGACGTCGAATAGATGGGAACCTCCGATTTTCATGGGTCTTTTTTATTTCTTTTTCTTCTCTTTCTAAAACCAAAATGTATAGTATTCCTTTGCATTGGCGGGGTTTTCGTCTGTTTTTTTTCTCATGGTCTTCATTCTATTTTATTTACACACCGATGAGTTTTATCAGATCGACTTGCCAGGACTACACCATAAACTATGACATTAACGCTAAGTTGGACACAAACAAGATTTCTCTATTTTCTTCTAAACGAATGATATTGTTACTTAAACATCGATCCGACACATGGATGAGACAATCTACATTCTACTCACATTGTTGTTGTTGTCGTCATGGGCAATTAAGACACGGTAGGGAAGATATAGCTAGGGGCGATAGGTCGACAGGTTGAAAGAGAAAGAGATCCAACACGACCCATCAGCTCATGGGCTTGATGATAGCTTCTTCTTCTTTTTTTCGGGTGAAACACTGTATTACTCAATCACAAGGTCCATACAATCAATCATTGCAAACTCCAACGCCTCTGAAGGCTCCGAACCTAACCAAGTCATGGTTATGTCTTCTAGACAAGCAAACTGAGCTGGACTATCACTAACCTTATTTTGACTATCTAATACAACACATACATAGTATAGCACGGTGGCAAATAAAAAAAATCAAGAGTACGCTAATAACGTACTCCCTCTAATCCCTATTATTAGACAAATAATATGGATTGGAGGGAGTACCATATTTTTTTTTGTTAATGCAAGATATCCCGCATACATGCAAAGGCTATACACCACACCTGCTCAGTGCTCACACGCTAGGCTCTAGCAATAGTACCGTTTACATCCTCGACACGCCACCTGAACTGTTGCACGCCTGCAACAGTGTTGCTTGGCGGTGTCACGTTCAAACTTCATCTCCATCACCTCACCTCGTGTCGTCCCGCCGGGAACAAACCGAACCAATCAACCAGCTCCACTCCACGTCTTCACGTACTGCGGCCTGTTGGCCTGTTCCATCAATCCCATGCTTTAAGCCAAAGCATCAGCTCGTGATCGGCGGATGCGACCTAGCTCGCCAACCTTCCCAATCAAAGGCTTGAGCGGCGGCAGGGACACGCCGTTGACTCATTTTGGCGATGGCTGTGGCCGTTCGGTGACCCATCGATTAAAAGTTGTGTAGTGTTTTGAGGTGTTTTGTAATTTTGAATTTCGATGAACTTTTATCGTTTTTGCTAATTATCGGGTACCTGAATTTTTTTTTGTTGCGTCAGGTACATTTTCCTTCTTCATCCTTCTTCCTTGTCCTCGCCAGAGAAGAACCAGCCTCATCATCTATCTTAGGGGAAAGCCACAACCCAAGTATAGGGGTGGGGGGTGGCTGTACGCTAGTGCACTAGCAACGAAACAACGCCCGATGGATCCAAGGGGCGAAGAGGCTCTTCTTGTCCAGTGCCACTGCAAAAGAAGATACGATGCACTGCACTGCAGAGCTGCATCACAACATGGTAGGGCAGGCCGGCCCACCCCAACCAACAGATTGTTCGGTGAGCAGAGCCGCGTCCATGATGATGATTCTGGACAGCTAAAACCAATCATCCAACGGAAAGCCCGTCGCTTTCGGGCCATAACTGAGCGCTCGCATCCATCCATCCAGCCCGTGGATCTCATCATCAAAAGGTAAAAGGGAAGCTCTAGTGGTCTACTGGCATGCCATACTAGACTAGATAGTACCCGAACCCAAAATCAAAGGAGAAAAGTGAAAGGGAAGCTGGAGCCACAGCCCACGGCAATGCTTCTTCCTCATCACACAATCATGCCAAGCACTCAAAATAAAACTATGAGATTTATACAGCGAAAAAGCCCACTGAGCCCAGCCAAATTTTTAA